TGGATTGGCAAGACAATAACCAATGAATCTGTTCGGATATTATAAAATATCTTAAGCAATGTGCAGGACCCAACAATGGTATCAATGATAGGGGTGTTCGCAATTCGGTTTGGATCAGTTTTAAAGTAAAAACTCATCCGATTCAAAAATAAATTCACTTGTGGTTCGGTTCGATTTTGAATGATATATTAAAAATAATTCAATCCGATTCGATTCAATTTTACGCGGTTTAATTTGAATTAATTTTTAGATATCTAAATTACACATTATATTTTTATTAATATTATAAAACTACTAATAAATCCAATTTTGGTTTGGATTGGTTTTGAAAATTTTATCCGAAATCCGATCTAAACCGATCAGTTTTCATAAAATGACATCCAAACACATCCAATAAATTTTAATTTTTTATGATTTTCAATTTTATAGATCAGTTTTTGATTTTTTTATTTAGATTGATTTGGATTTGAACACCCCTAATCAATGATACTGGAAGAAACCAAGAACCTTTGTCAAGCCTGCATATTGTACTAGCATTAAATATCTTTTATAGGATCTATGTAAAAGTTGAAAGAAAACTCATATGCTAATGAACGTACCATTTTCTAGCAGTCATGTCATTATAAACCCAAAATGGTGCCAACGTTGAGAGTAAAGTAAAATCAATGGACATAATATGGATCTGCAATTAAGAAAAACTCAATTTTAACACTTTGAAAACTTGGCTCAATGCAACTAACTAGGTTCTAATAAACCAGTAATTTTTGCTTGAAAACCAATACAGTAGAGAATTGTATGGCAATGCTAAAGCTTATAATACCAACCAGTACTGGTAAATTCTTTCCATGCATCTTCCCCGGCTAAACCGGCGTAAATTATGAGACCTATCTCCGAAGCAAGCAGTATCTATTTCACAGTTGAGATAAGATAAATGATTTGCGTGCAACCAACTTTGTATTTTAAGACGAGAACTTACCAATGCAGTAACTTTTGACTCCAGAAAATTTAATGGCCATGTTTTAAGCTCAGTTTCTTCAACAGGAAGTGGTAGAGGTTTCCATAGCACAAAATAAGGAAGAAGTGCATATATGCCACCGAAAAACGAGAGTGATAGGAAAAGCCATACAGGAACCTTGCTTTTTGAGCTGTAAAACAACAATTTAATCTTACATAGGAAAGTCAATCCTTAACGGGGTTCCTAGTTACAATGTATACTAGAAAAAAAGAGAGAAAAAGCATACGGAAATGGGAAAAACCTTTTTCCAATGGAAAGTAAGAGCATGCTATATACCAAAGGCCACAAGCCCATTATATACCACTCAGATACAAACATTTCATTCATTCTGAAACCGTCGTCTCCTTTCAAATTCAACAGATTTTTCAAAAATAACAACAATAATAAACAATAATAATAATAGTAACAATAACAATAATAATTAAAAAAAACAATAATAATAATAATAATAATAATAATAATAATAATAATAATAATAATAATAATAATAATAATAATAATAATAATAATAACAATAATAATAACTACAACAATAATAATAACTACAACAACAATAATAATAATAATAATAATAATAATAATAATAATAATAATAATAATAATAATAATAATAATAATAACAACAATAACAATAAAAACAATAATAATAACAATAGCAATAAGAATAACAACAATAATAATAACAATAAAATTAACAATAACAATAATAATAACAATAATAATAATAATAATAATAATAATAATAATAATAATAATAATAATAATAATAATAATAATAATAATAATAATAATAATAATAATAATAATAATAACAAGAACAATAATAAAAACAATAATAATGACAATAGATAATAATAACAATATCAATAATAAGAACAAGAAAAACAAGAATAACAATAATAATAATAATAACTAGAATAACAATAATAATAAAAATAATAATAATAATAATTATTATTATTATTATTATAATAATAATAATAATAATAATAATAATAATAATAATAATAATAATAATAATAATGACAATAATAATAATAACAAGAATAACAATAATAATAATAATAATAATAATAATAATAATAATAATAATAATAATAATAATAATAATAATAATAATAATAACAACAATAGCAATAAGAATAACAACAATAAAAATAATAATAACAATAACAACAACAACAACAACAACAATAATAATAATAATAATAACAACAATAATAATAATAATAATAACAACAATAATAACAACAATAACAATAATAATAACAATAATAAAAACAATAAAAATAATAAGAACAATAATAATAATAATAATAATAATAATAATAATAATAATAATAAAAATAATAATAATAATAATAACAATAATAATAATAATAATAATAATAATAATAATAACAATAACAAAAATAACAATAATAACAATAACAAAAATAACAATAATAATAATAATAATAATAATAATAATAATAATAATAATAAATAAAAAACATAAACAAACAAGCATATTGAAGGTTTTAATGTTTGTTTGAAACAATAATAGTAATATTATTACCTGTGTTTGGTTTGGGGAGACAAAGGAGTAAAATTGAGGTTGTCCAATCTCTTTTTTCTTCCTCCACGACCTCAACACCACTGCTTCTAACCTCACTCTCTCTGTCGGAATCATGGCAAATAACAATACACATACATTGGATACACTTACATTTCAATTGAATAAATGCCTACAACCCCGAATTAATTAGAGATGATAATCCAAAGCAATAGGAATGAAGAAAGTATTACTGAACAATAGCAACACAGATGCAAAGAAGCATGTGAATCGATAGCCGGAAGTCCGACGTGAAAAATTATTATAGTTACATATAATGTACATACAGATAAACAATATTATAATACTTTTATGAATATAATTAGATTTCATAGTTCGTTTTGGACCTACACCTCTAGTTTGCTTACAAAATATAACATAATATTGTAATATAGATTCTTAAGTCTTAAAAGCACCAGAGTATAAACTAAATATTTTGTTTGCAATGACCCAAAACAATTAGAATCATTATCTTGGGATTATGGGTTCGAACTCTGCTGAAAACAGTCTCTCTATTATAAAAACAGGAGTAAGACTGTTTACATCCGACTCCTCCAGAACCCATAAAATAGAAGTCTCGTACGCTAGATTACCTCTTTTTTAGAGAATTGAAAGTTTCATATTAGCCATTCTAAGCTTTCGAAGTTACTAATGTAAAGCAAATTATCAATGTAATGAGTTCACAATGTAAGCATGTAGTTATTTCTCAAATAAATAATATGTAGATCCTATTTGGCTAAACTATTTGGGAGAAATGTTACACATTGTTAATTCCTAGAAGTCAAAGCTTTGTATTTACCTTGACCTCTTGTGAATAGATCTCCTCAAGAAGATTTACATCTTATAATTGAAACAACTCCTGTCAAAAAACACACCAAACAGACTTAATAAAATTAAGATCCATAGTCTTATAATCATTCTTAAAATCAATCGAACGCCCAGTCCGAGTAATAACATTATCCCACTCAGAAACATACTGATAGATTATGTTGATTCCCTTTAAGTTCCACGTAGAGACCTCAGCCTTAATTAACCATTGTATGAGTAGAAAAGAATGAGAGGAGAATAATTCCTTGATGTATTAAAAATGTATAATGGATTTCTCTCTTAAATAGAGAAGAATTAGAATCCTAAATTAATTGCATAGATCCTAACTTAATTACAGGTTATTGACAATAATTGACTACCTAATAATATAATAACTGAAAAAGAAACAATATAAGTACTATTATTTTAATAAATATTTTGATTTTGCAACACTCTCCCTCAAGTTGGCTTGAAAATGTCTTCCATGGACAACTTGCAAGTTATGTAGTCAAAAGATTTCTTGGGTAGTCCTTTGGTCAAGATATCTGCCAATTGTTCTGCGGTAAGAATATAGGTCATACATATTTGCCCATTTTCAAATTTTTTCCTTGATGAAATGTTTGTCAACTTCAACATGTTTGGTTCTGTCGTGTAGAACTGAATTGTGTGCAATAGATATTACAGACTTGTTGTCACAATAAGATTTGTTTCCACATGTACTACTTCTTTATGTGCAATTGTGTGATCAATTAACTCTATATCCTCAATGTTAAAAACAAAATTTGGCAAAGGTTCATTCAAATTGTTGTCACTTAAAAAATTGTCTTCATTGACATTCTCCCCCTGAAAGGAATTTGTGTGATAGAAAAGTTGTAGTTTTAAGAAAGTGACATTTATACTAACATGAAGTTTTTTGTGTTAGGATTGTAACACTTGTACCATTTTTGGTTGGAGAATAACCAACAAAAATACATTTTTCAGCTCTTGGATCTAGTTTAGACCGAGAGTTAAGGGGTGTACATAAAAATAGTACAACCAAACACTTTTAAAGGTAAATTAATATGCAATCGACATGCCGGAAAAAAGTTTTGAAAACATCCCATGGTGTGCAATAACTTAACACACGATTGGACATCCTATTTATGAGATATGATGTTGTTAGAACCGCATCCCCCCATAAAAATTTAAGACCATTGCTCTCAAACATAATGGCACGAGCTACCTCAAGAAGATGTATATTCTTTCTTTCAACTATGCCATTTTGTTGAGGTGTATTTGGGCATGTTGATTGATGTTGAATACATTTATGTTGAAAAAACTCTCTGAGGTTTTTATTAAAATATTCAGTACCATTGTCACTTCTCAAAATGGAGATTTTTGCATCAAATTGAGTTTCTATCATTTTTGAAAAATATTTAAATATCTCTGGTACTTCAGATTTATCTTTCATGAGATAGACCCAACATAGCCATTATAATCGTCAATAAAGGTCACAAACCACCTTTTTCCAAATTGAGTTGTAATTTTAGAGGGACCCCATACATCACTATGGATTAAATAAAAAGCTTTGGATGCATGATAAGGTCAAGAGAAATAAGGAGTTTCGTGACTTTTAGAAAGAACACAACTTTCACATTCAAAAGAAGAATAATTAACAGTTTTGAATAAATCTGGAAACAAATGCCTAAGATATTGAAAATTAGGATGCCCTAGTCTATTATGCCAGAGCATTATTTGATCCCGCACTGAGGTAGAACTGATACCACTAAAGGCTATAAGCCACTTTATTCTCAAAACCATCCTTAAAGTAATAGAGTCCATCCATCATTTTAGCATTGTCAATCATCTTCCCTGAATTCCGATCCTGAAAAATACAATGAGTGTTAAAAAATTTCACATTGCAATTTGAGTCTTTGCAGATTTTACTAACAGAGAGAAGGTTACATGAAAGTTTTGGTACGTGTAGCACATTTTTTAAATCAATGTGTAGACAAAGGAATTTTTCCTTCTCCTGCAATTGGTGAAAAACTTTCATCTGCAATTCTAACTTTTTTATTTCCACGACAAGGTGAATATATTTAAAATAGAGAAGAAAGGTTGGTCATATGGTCAGAAGCACCTGAATCTATGATCCATAGTGCATACATATTTGAGGTGCAACTTAGAGAAGTATGGATACTAAAATTACTTGTTTGTGCCAAAGAAGCATTAGGAATACCCGACAAAGAACTAGATTTTAGCAACCTTATAAGCTCCTCAACTTGATCCTGGTTGGACAAGGATTTTTTTTCATGTGCTGTAAGGACAAATCTGGGACCCGGTTTACCATTTTTCAAATGTGTTGGTTTCCCATGGAGTTTCCAACAGGTCTCTCGAGTGTGACGTGATCTGTTGCAGTGGTCACACCAGAGGTTAAGATGTGTTCCTCTGATTTGATGAACTTTTAAAGGCAGAGCAGTATTCGCAATCAAGGCATCGGTCTCAGGAGGATTTGGATCAGCTTTTGCCTTTCCCATCATCACTCTCCTGCGAGTTTCCTCCCTTCTAACTTCAAAAAAACATTTCTCCTAATGAAGGTAAGGTTGATCTTCCAATGATTTTTCCACGAACTTCGTCTAACTCCTCATTGAGGCCAGCAAGGAACTGGAAAATTCTTCCTTCTTCCACTGTTTGTTGATGGTGTTTGGCATCCTCGGTTGACTTCCACTTATAGGTGTTGAAGAGATCAAGGTCTTGCGAAACCCGTTTTAAGGAATTGAAGTATTTTGTGACATTATCACTTCCTTGCCGAATTTCTCTAGCCTTCAACGTAAGTTCATAGATCTGAGACTTATTTTCCAGATCAGAGTACATCTCTTTCACACTTTCCCACAATTCTTTCGCTGTGGAATAACACAGATAGTTGCTGTTGATTTCCTCTTCCATGGAGTTTACCAACCATGTCATTACCATGGAATTTTCAGCATCCGATACATCATGTTGTGGGTCAACATTTGGTTTTGTGCGATCACCATTAAGATATCTCATTTTTCCTCTGCCACTGATATACATCTGGACAGATTGAGACCACCTCAAATAGTTCGACCCATTGAGTCGAAAAGAGGTGATTTGGATAGAATGAGAATCGCTGCCATAAGCAACTTTTTGCTCTTTTTGAGACAGCGTGTTTTTAGGAGTTTTATTCTCCTCTTCACTATTGACTGGGGAACTGTCAGCCATGGAAGTACAGAGGCGTAGACTGCAGCAAAATTGCTCTGATACCAAGTAGAAAAGAATGAGAGGAGAATAATTCCTTGATGTATTAAAAATGTATAGGGAGTTTCTCTCTTAAATAGAGAAGAATTAGAATCCTAAATTAATTGCAGAGGTCCTAACTTAATTACAGGTTATTGACAATAATTGACTACCTAATAATATATTAACTGAAAAAGAAACAATATAAATGCTATAATATTCTGATAAATATTTTGATTTTGCAACAGTATGCTCTCGTCATCAAAATCGTCAAGCACTTGAAAATAACAAAAGAGTAAATGATATTTGAAAAATGAAATGTATTAGAACTTAGAAAATTTTGTCTCACCTCTAAACTTGTTTTATCTTCCACTGTAAGAAGCTCATATTTTCTTGAGCATTTGGTTCTCCATTTTGGTTGCAACAAGAGCTGCAGGTTGTAGTCATGTCAAATTTAGAAGAACAAATTAATGCCTTTTTTAAGTTTCCATAAGTAGTCCAATAAGTACATTGTTCACTGCCACAAATGGAAAACTACAAGACACCATAGAGATATAATGAAGGCAATTACACTTTTCTATGACTTGTGTCTTCCACGTGGTATTAGCATTTTCAACATACAGCATATGCATAAAACAAACACTACAAAATGTAAGACTAAAATAGAGAGAAAAAGAGAGATATAGTGTGATATACACCAAAGACTAGTTATATACCTTTGCAAGCGAGCCTCTTTCAATATAAGTTTCAAGCAGGAAATGATTTTAGCAGTAAGTAACACAATATGATTAAACATACCAGCACCCGTGGCTTCTATCATGTTATTAATGTATGTTTCAGACTTTCCACCTCCTCGACATTTTTGTTTCTGCATTTGGTACTAATGAGTCCAGCGCAATCTGTGCGGCAACTATTCTGTGTACTTTCTGACTTGTGGTTATATATAGTGCAAGTAGTTAGAAGCTGTGCAAATAACCATGCAATTTCAAACGTAAATTCAACTTTCAAATTCAACTATGTTGTAGACCTTAGTAAAATTCAGAAAGTCAATTCACCATCTAAGCTTGATATATACCATCAAAAACTCTAAAAGGATAAAGCTTTCACCATCTACACCATCAATTCTCTAACTCATCCCAGTTCCAATCAAGTTCATAAACCTGCATGCATATCAACCTAATCATTCAGAATCCCATCCAACAATAAGAAAATTGGAATAACAAACACTGCAGCTGTTATGATCAAAATTACAGTTATAGAGTAACACATGCCATGCCACTAAAGCAGAACATAAGTAAGCAAAAACAAATCAATACAAGGAAAACAATCATTAGAAAGGTAAGCTCATAACCATATGTAATCAATCAATGACCTTGAGTAGTGGGAAGCTGGTTTCCATGTTTAAGATATAACTCCCTAATTGACACCAATTCCATATCTTTGAAATTTCCTCCTGTTTGATAGCTACAAACAAAAATAGTGTAGCGGCAGCCTTAACAGAAAGACAATGTTAAATATCGCTAGAACAGAAAAAAGAATCAAACCTAGATAACAGGACCATCTGCCAAAAGATCAATATATGGAACACCTAACTCATTAAAGAGGCAGACACCTTTGGCTACAAAGACAAAATGTTATTCCAAAATGTTCGGCTCTTGTGAAGCTTTTCATCAAACATTATATGTGCATTCTTACTCCAAGCTAAACTTGAAAAGAGATGGCTTAAAAAATAAGCTGTAAGATGAATAACAACAGTGTTAGAGCTCATAACTATATCCTGTGGCTTCAATGGAGGGTGAAAATCACCACTAAACAAAATCAAGAGGAAAATTGGAATCTGCAATTGAGAACGAAATTCGTCAAAATACGAAAACGAATGAACGCTCAATGGAACTATACCGGTGATGAAACGAAAATGGAAACCGAGACCGCGATCGAAAATGGAACGAGAAAACAAAACGGTGGCTGCGATGACGGTGATGTGATGACGGTAGAAGAACTCCATCGATTCAATTCTTCAATTGAATTCAATTCAATTCAATACAAATGAGAGATAAAGAATTGTCTCCATTAAATCAATATAGAGGAGAAAGACGAAAATAGCCTTCCCCTAGATATATAAGCCAAAACTTTTCAACCAAACAGATTTTTAGAATGAAATAATTAAATAAGTAAAATATTTTAAAAATAAAGATCTCTAGATACTTATTACTCTTTTTTTTTAATATTGAATTTTAGAGCTGGGAATCCTTATTGTTTTCCAAAATACTTGTTTTCAATGAAACTCCCCCATCATATATACACATTTATATATAATAATATTATTTTTATTAAATTTAATTTATATTAAGAAAGTAATAATAAATTTGATTGTCTTGTTTTTATAATATTTTACTTATTTCCAAACAACATGTTAATAAAATCTAAAAAATGAAAGAAAAAAACTAATTAAACAGATACAAAATCAAAATACCCTAAATCTAGGGTTATAATTGAGAGAATGAATATACATTTAAGGTTATTGGTGAGAAGTAGAAGATATGATAGTCTTTATCGTATTTAGGGATGACAACAGGGTGGATCAGGGCGGGTTTAAGCACACCCTAACCCGCACCTGCCATCCAGATCCAGACTCGTCCCCGCCCCCAAACCCGGTCGAGACTAATATTTATTCACCCCCGCCCCCAATAAGAAATGGGTTTCCCCGCACCCGCCCTACGTCCGTCCGAATAAAATATTAATTTTTAAAAATTTATATTTTTTTTCAATAAAAATAAAATCAATAATTAAACTAAATAGTTAATTATTTTAAAAACATTTTTATGTTTGATATTTTTATTTAAATTGTATTTTCAAAAAAAAAATCTAATAAATATTATATTTTAATATTAAAAAGTGTAAATGAGTAATAAAATTATTAAAAAATAAATAAATTAAATTAAATTTAGTTGGCGGGTGCGGGTGCAGAGTGGGTACTAGCATCACTCGCCCCCGCACCTGCACCCGTAAATAAAAATCGATTTTTCCCTGCACTCGCACCCGCCCCCGGTTAAACCGGGTTTTCCCCGCTAATTTCGGGGCGGGAGCGGATTTATTTGCCATGCCTAATCGTATTTGTTACAGAGGAGCAACTTGGTCGGAGATTGGCCAGAGTTGCATTTCTGGAAAACGATGTCGTCAAAGCTTGAGAGCTTCTTTGGAGTTGGAATCGGAGTTTGTGTTTTTTGTAACACCTCAATTTAATTAGAATTATTTTTAATTAAATAATAAGATGATGCGGTAAAATTATATGAGTTGATGGATTTTATGATGTAGTGTGATGCCTTGTTGGAGACTAGATGTCTTAGAATTATAGAAGTTGAGGTTATGGGGGTGTTTGGCTAAATGTGTAGAAACATAAGGGTGTGTGGAATAATATAGATTACTATTATTATTTATTATCATATTAGAATAATAATTATTATTTTGTAGTAATAATTAAATAATTATTTATTGGGCTAGTTATTGATCGTACCTGACCAGAATGGATCATCAAGGCCTACGAGCTGAGACTTGAGCAGCAGCTGAAGATGAGATTGGAGAGGTACCTGCAAGATACTTCGATGTTAAAGTGAGATTCGAAATGATGCAAGCAAGTATGAGAGTGTGAGTATGAAAGAATGAATACATGACCCTCTCAAAGTGAAAGGGTATTTATAGCCCACAGTGCTGGGCCAAGGTCCCTAATATTGGGCCACGATGAGACCCAACAACGAAGACTGTCAGGGCTTACGTGTATATGGAGTCCAGCACGTGAACTCACCCCTGATCAACTGCCACGGAAGAATAGGTGTTGGACCCGTGATTTTCGGAGGATATTTATGATGACAATGATACGGACATGTGGGCCACGTTCCCCAACAGACGCGTGGGGAGTTGTCCAACGATCCCCAGCTTGGGTTGCTTGTCTTTGGGCTTTATGCAAGGGTATTGGATTGGGTCTCCCAATAGTGGGGCAAGTGTGGACCCAGTCCAGATCAGGAGCCCCCCAAGTTATTGCCCTTAGGTGAAAGGGTGATGACTTAAGTTCAGTTGTATGGCCGGGGAGAATTTGCTCGAGAAGGGAGGTCGAAATCCTCTGACGAAAATGAGTTGTTGCTTGTGTCAGGGATAATCTGTTTGACCGTGTCAGGGATCTCGTGGACAAGTGAGTTGTGAGACCAACTGGATCAGTTGTTCGTCCAGTGTTCGACGGGAGTATATAGGCTACGGGGAGCTCCCACGAGCTCTTTTTGACGTGTCCGTCTTCAAGGGGTTGTTACGATATCGAGCGTTATTTCACCCTCGAGGTGGATCGTGACGAATATGCCCGTATGCACGTTTTAGCCATGGTGTCGAGCATTTTTTCGTGTGAGGCGTACGAAGTTTCGTGTTAAAGTCGGGGACGTATTCGTCTCTTGAGAATGGATATGTGGCTGATTGCTGGGCCACATGGCTATTGCTTTGGGGTGCCCATCTCTTCATGGAGAGTCCAAAAGGCTCAATCCAATGATGATTTTTCGTGATAAACCTCGTGAGGTGTGAGCCGCCTATAAAAAGGGGACCCCATGATTTCATTTATTATTTCTCAAGTTTTCTTCTTCAACCTCCCTTGCCCGCACGTGAATCATCTCCTCTCAACTTCTTATTAGAGTTCTTCAAAGCATCTTTATCCAAGTAAGTCATATTCTCCTAACAACATGTTTTCTTTAGAATTTTTAGATTAAACGCATAGTTTTCGTCTTGATTGGAAGAATCTTGGATGAACATTCATGGGTCCTGCGATGAACATCCATGAACGTCTATTGAAGTTCATGATAGATTGATGAACTTCATGACATCGGGGACGATTTCCTCGAATGGTGGGGGTTGATTCGGGCACCTTGCCCGTTTGACTAGATATCCCAAATAGAAGTGTGGTATGCTTTAGTGTGCAGTCGAGGGCTTGGGTCGAGGTTCGTTCCTTAACCGATCCATTTCCCTTTCACTTGATTTGAGATGGAATGGTGAATTTGATGATGTCGAATTCACTATTTTCCTCTGCTTTTAAGGTATAATGGCACATTCGATCGGGGAGGATGTCTTTCCCGCCAACCACGAAGATGAAATCAACATCGAGGAGGACCCTTTGGCCTGGGTCGCACCTGAGCCTAGAAATAAGAGGTCGTGCTTTTCGCATGACGCAATGGATGCATTTAACTATTTGGAGGTTCGAGCCGAGGGGGCCCCCGCCAACTGGATTCTCCAAATTCCTCATCGTAACTGGAGGATCTTCTCGACATATCCGGGCAAATATTTTCCCATGTACGAGTTCGCGTTTAAAGAGGTGGGGATGCATTTGCCCTTCAATGATTTTCAATTGGGGGTTTTCCATTGGCTTCAATTGGCATCCTCTCAACTTCACCCAAATGCATTGGCGTTCATGCGGACGTTCAAGCTCGTCTTCAATATCTACAAATAGGCGTTACGCTGCCCCTCTTCTTCCGTATCTTCCACTTACAAAGGCAATCCACTGAAGGAGGGCAGGTGTGGGTGTCCTTCAAATAGTTTGGGAAACTCTTTCGGCCTTACCTAGAGTCTGTCCGTCATTTCAAAGATAGGTACTTTGTCGTGAAACCTTTGACGGACGCGGTCATAGATTCCCTATACACTCGAGTGGATGAGGTGGAGAGTGGACGACCAGATGCCCAGCTCATGGCCAGATTTCCGCTCGAATGGCAATGGAAACATTTCGAGCAAAAGCCTGAATATTAGTTGTAAAGCCTGAGGACTTGGACGCTCAGGACCAGCTCTCCTATGAGAAGCTAGCGGCCTATGTTAGGAGCTTCTCCCCAGTGAGGTGTGTGAACGTGAACAACAACCTCCTCTTCGACAATAATAGGGAGTATCTCCTCGTTAATAGGTTTATCAACACGAAGGCTTTGCTTGAATGTTCTTCAGACGAAGAAGCCATGAGGATTTTAAGTAGGGGATGTGGTCGCGACAATCATTTTTGTTTGGCTTTCATGCAGGGACGTGTCTGCGATATTATCTTTATTTAACCTGTGACTGACAGTTTCCTTTTGATTGCAGGTCGGATGGCGTCCCTCTCTGAGCGCCTATTAAATCTGAGACCCAAGAAAGATTCCACCTCGGGGCCAAAGAACAGGGTCGCCTATCTCCAAGAGCAGGCCAAATCTGCTGCTCGTGTCAGCGGTTCCCCCTCTTCATCAAAGACCCAGATTCCCCCAGCGAGCCCGCAACAAAGAGGAAACACGTGAAGGATGTTGAGCGCGTCATGCCCGAAGGTGATAAGGGTCCTGGGGAAGTCGTCGTGCTGCCTCCCTGTTATCTAAAATGTGATATCTTTAGCGGGGAGAGCTCTTTAGGCGTTCACGAGGAGGATATGGAGGCAATTATGTCCGAGGATAAGGAGGTCCATCAAAAAAACTTGGCGGAGGATGTGGCCACTGTGATGAGGGTGCTCGAGACGGCCTTGACGCTAAATGATGAGGCCGCGGGTTCTCAGGCCTCCCTCGACACAGCATATGCTAAGATTCAAAAGCTGAAGGCCAAAAATGAGAAATTAAAGTGCGACATCTTCAACCACGAGTCAAAGTTCGAGGACCAAGTTCAACTTCTCAAGGATCTGAGTGAGCGGTGTAACACCCCGATTCTACCCCGAATAATTATATAAATAAATCAGATTTATAAAAATCATTCATGCAAATGAATCGGGATGCCACAAATTCTTCTATCAAAATTCATTGCATTCATCGTGGATATATAACACTTTTAAAACATCGGATGAACCATCATCATGACATCTTTAATTAAATAATTCAACATCTACGCAGCGGAAATTCTTAATAACATCTTTGTCATCATTACAACAACTTCGAAACAACACAATTTAATAATAATCAACTTAAAGTTCAACAACTGAATAATCAACAATCAAAAGCAACAAGCGTTCATCCCCCCGAGTGTTACATATCAGAGCAATAA